AATTCTTTTTTAAAAAAGCAGGAGGACTTGACACATTTAATAAGACATGGTCCAAATGCTCAATTTTTTTGTTAGGATAGAAAGAGAACACAACTTTGCACATTATTTTTGAATGCATATATTCTATACAGCCTCCAGTGTCAAAAATGACTTTAACCAATTGGGAATAAGTTTGAGTCCACTTTGTTTCTCATGATTCAGTGGTTCTACATCATCATTGCCATCTTGTACAAACGAAGCATCAGGTCCCTGGCTTTTATGCTAAGTGAAGCACAGGTCTGGGTCACTCGAGCCTATTGGAGTGGTTCTAGATTCAGGTGGCAAGGAGTGGAGACATCTCTTAGATCCCACTAGGCTTGTGGAAGATTCTATATGACTTGAAATATTCTAGAGAACCCCTGCCTGGGGAAATTGAAAAACACAATATACACGCCTCAGGGATAGGATCTTCTTCTTCTCAGGTGATAGGAGGATAAGACTGATGCAATTAAAAATATTGTTTCCCTTTTTATGGAAAAAAATTGGAAAGATTCAGTCATTAAAATCCTGTTTGAAGAAAAAAATATTTAAGATAAAATTGAGTGAAAGAAACATATGGCACATAAAAGAATACAGTCATGAAAAGGAAATGAGTGCATGTCACATCCATGACTCTCTGACCCTGAAGGTGGAAAAGCAATTTCTGACCCTAAAGAAATATCATTGGTTGTTGGCTTGCTCCCATATTAATCTCCAAATAAGCTTTATTGTCATTACCAGAAAGCATTTTTCCACAATGAGTAACTAGGGGAAATAAAATGGTGTTTATTTAAAAAAATCCAGCCAACATATTCCCCAGTGCATTGTTTTAAATTGTTTGTTTTTTCCTCATGTCATCTCATTGTTTTTTGTTCTCTAATCCAATCTGGAGTACCCTAGGAAGTTTTTATTTTTATTTTGTAATTCTAAAAGGGAAGAATAAGAGTTTGGGGTTCAATTCAGCAAAGCCTTCATGATCCATTTATAGGAAATCTCAGTTTTCAAAGATACACAAGCCATATGAAGACCTCCCCACTAAGTCCATGTGTAGAACCATTTTACTACAACTCAGATTTTCATGTAATTGGCGTAAGTTTAGTTAATTATGTAGATGCTGCATTTCTGTTTTTTCATACTTTTTGTTGATTTTCCAGTTGAGTATATAGATGCTATAGTTCATACAATATGAACTACCTGAGTACATAAATTTTTAATGCCATGCTCTATTATTATTATTATAGATATTCCAAGTGAGAATTTGCTTTAGAAGTAGAAAACTCTTTCAAAATTGAATTAAATTTCATCCCATTCAAGGACATATAACCCTTAGTGCAAGCCACTGTTTTGTATACTGATATTCTGTGGATCTTTATTTGGGAGGATTTGAAGAGGTCTATGGAGAAAACATGCTCTATAATTACATTTATTTAGAATGCACTGTATTAAATTACTTTTTTAAGTTTCTTTGTTCTCTGAGCCTTTAATCCCTGATATACAGTGGAGACCTGCAAGAGGGAGTTGGAGGATGTGGTATTTGCTAGTCTTATTAGACCAGACACCTATTAATAACCCACAGAAAAGTGTTCTACAGAACACTTGTCTTGCAAACTCATGTGTCTTTTGAAATTCTTCTTATGTACAAAATCTGTGCATCTTTGTGTAAAGCTTCTTTACTGAATAATGTGTTTTGCTTTTAATGACTATTGAATAAAAATTTGAAAAGAGAAGTAATAAAGCCATATCTCTTTTAAAACATTACAATGAGACTCATCGATGATCTCCTTGACTTTTTTTCTAAAGATTTATTTTTAAATTATTTTAGTACTATGTACTTATTTATCATAGAAGTATTACTATGGATATTTACTAAGAGCTGTTGTCAGCCAAGTCATGTCTGACTCTTTGCAACCTCATGGACTGCAGCACACCAGGCTTCCCTGTACTTCACTGTCTCCTGGGGTTTGCTCAAAACTCATGTCCATTGAGTCGGTGATGCCATCCCACCATCTCATCCTCTGTTGACCCTTCTCCTCCTGCCCTCAATCTTCTTTGTTATTAGGGTCTTTTTCAGTGAGTCAGCTCTTCACATCAGGTGGCCAAAGTATTGGAGCTTCAGCTTCAGCACCAGTCCTTCCAATGAATGTTCAGGGTTGATTTCCTTTAGGATTGACTGGTTTGATCTTTTTGCTTAATACACAATTAACTTTTAATACTATTTATTTTTAAATTATTTTGATGCTATATTAAATTAATTCTCACTTGGAAATAAGTATGTAATCATCCATGTGACCACTTGCTTGAGTAAAGAATGAAATTTCTTTCGGAGATATGAAATTCAGTCCAATGGGCAATTCAGTCCAGTTGCAAATGTACAACAGGAGTTGCTTATGGTTTTTTCCTGAAGCCCAGAGAAATCTCAACAACACTAGAGCACAGTTAGATCTTAGATTCTTTAGTTACTCAAATAGTAAACTCAAGATTGATCGCTTGTAAAATACTAGTTCCATGGAAGCAGCATTGTGTTGCCTAGGTGATGGCCACAATGGGCTCTGATTCCAGTGCTTGAATTCTCTAATTGCTGTTCTCTATTGTAAAAAGTTGTGGGTTATGGGTGTGACACTCCTGGCATCCTAACTAGAAGCTTTGTGTCCTCAGGTCCATTCTGCATTCCACTGCTGAACTGGTCTTCTTTCAGGGAAATGTGCTTGCTTTCTGTCTTGCCTGCTGATCTTTGCAGCTGATGAGAGAGCGGAAGCTGAAAGGATCTTTCTCAGTGGCTCTGACTCAGCATTTCCTACTTTCTTCCCATTGAAAAACCTACTCTTTTTTGATACCTATTGAGAATTCTCCTTTAAGTAAAATTCCCCTACTCAAAACACTAATAATTACGGTGGCAATAATGATAGGCATAAGCCAGCCTTCACGCAGTGGGATTAAGGTCTAAAATGGAGGGTCTGCAATACCCAGTATGACAGTAAAGTAAGTTCTCTGGAAACATAGCCACTGAAAATATGCGGTGTTGGATATGGTTAAGTTTAGCCTTTTAAAATGTATCACTGAAACTGCAAGAAAATAAGGGATTCTCAGAGTCACCAAAGTAGTGTGATTTATAGAAAGGCCATGAAATTAAGGGGTTGGCTTTGTCCTGGGAGCAGAACCAGGTTCGGTCTCTGGGTCAGGAAGATCCTCTGGAGAAGGGAACGGCAACCCACTCCAGTGCTCTTGTTTGGAGAATTCCAAGGACAGAGGAGCCTGGTGGGCTACAGTCCATGGGGTTACAAAAGGTTGAACATGACTGGGTGACTTTCTCACTTTACTTTCCCCTGAAAGCATCTGTAAGTAGGACCTTAGTGAGACTGAATTTTGTTTCTGAGAGTCTGTGGGCTGAAAAGATAGGAAGAAATATCTGAGAGCTTTTCAAAATAGGAAATATAATCAGATCCGCTTACATACTGCTAGAACTCGAAAGAGAGGTCTGCTGTCACTACAAGGGAGAAAAGTTAGATGGTAAAGACAGATGGACAGATGGATGGACAGATATGGATATAGATACAGGTATAGAAATAGACACAGGGACAGAGAACTCATAACCACAAGCAGGTTTCAGACCAGCTTATAGATGAATTTGTGCCATCTCTATGGTCCAAAATGCCTCAGCAGAGACTTTATTTTAAGGAGGTAGAAAGCTTCTCTTGTTCCAGGCACATGGGAAAGTCAACTGAGACTCGCCTCTGCATAAACTCACCTTCAAAAGAATTATTGTAGGTGAAGTTCCAGAAATAGAAGAGCAAAAGGAAAATTCAGAGGCACCTTAGATTCTGAGAGATATTGGAATTATTATCAAATCAGACTGTAAAAGTGTAAAAAACAAAAGTGAATAAAATTATGAGTAGGGAACAAAATACTGTATAAATGGCCAAAGATGTTTGAACAAAATGCTAGCAGAGAAACAATGAAAGGAAGTTTAAAACTCAACTACATGATAGTATAATAAATTTGATGCAGATGGAGAGAAGATTATGATAGGAAAATGGCCTAAAAAATTACCCAGAAGATGGAACAAAGATTTTAAAAAAATGAAAAGTTAAGAGACACGAATGATAGAGACATTTGTCAAATTTTAATTCATCAGAGGGGAGTACAGATAATAGGAGGGAACTGATATTTGATAAGATAGTTGCTTAATCTTCAGATTTAAAACTTTGAATGGGTTCCAAGCAGGATTAATAAAAGGAGGTTCATTCATAGACATGATATTGCAAAACTTTTATTTCCTTAGAAATATAAGGAAATTCATGCATAGACATCATATTGTAAAATGTTAGGACATCAAAGATAGTGATCTTAAAGTCATTTCAGACTGTGAGATTAAGTAGGAAAACTGGAAAGCAGAAAATTGTAATACATTAACAGCAGTGAGGGGGAAATGAGGACAGAAACAACTGTTGATCCTGAAGTATAAGCTTAGTAAAAATATTCTTTAGATTAAAAGAGAATTAAAAATATTTTTAAAGAACTAAAGGTGTTTTTGGACAAAACAGTTTAAGAGGGTTTGGGTCATCTTAGCTTGTTGTCCCATGAGAAGGCATCAACCCAAAGAGAATGTATCCTATCTTATTTTCCTCAAGTTTCCTTGAGATGGGGGTTCTCAAATCATTTAAATTGTGACATATATTTTCATTAAAATGTTGTTGAGAAAATCAAAGGGAAATGAGTATGTGTGCATAGCATCATATAAATCCTTAATATTTTCCATAATTGGTTGAATTTTCATCAGGATTTTTCTAGCATCTGTTCAAAGGAAGCATAATCAAGATGCAAGTTATCGAACATATTCTTGAGGGAAAAATAAACAAGATGTTCACATGTGGACAAGTGACTCATTACGCCGATCAAGAGTGCTTTAGCCACAGGGCTGTACATCGTAACAGTGTAGGGATCACGTCTCCAGTCACTAATGTGTTGTTGTCCCTTTGTTCTAGCATCCATTGCATCCACCTGCAACGACCCGGGTATGCCTCAAAACGGTACCCGCTACGGGGACAGCAGAGAACCTGGGGACACCATCACTTTCCAGTGTGACCCTGGGTACCAGCTCCAAGGGCAAGCTAAAATCACCTGTGTGCAGCTGAATAACCGATTCTTTTGGCAACCAGACCCTCCTACATGCATAGGTATTGTGCAATGGAATATAGCAATTTTAAATTGGGGAAGGAGTGCATGTTATCATTAAAATTGCTCTATAAATGTATTATTCTTCAGAAGTATTTCTCAAGCGTTTCTTGCATGCCCTCAGGTTTTCCGAGATTACATTGAAATTTTATTATAAACCTTTAAACTTTATTTTATTAGGTGAAATAAAGGAAGTAGTTTACTTAATGTACAGTAATTGACATTTACCTAACATTTCCTATCCTTAACAAATCTTATAAAAATATGGTTCAATCAAGTTACTGTAATTTAAAATTTTGGGTGGCTGAAAATTCACAACCCTACCATAGTTGTTCTCATTTTTAATATAGAAATATGCCCTGAAGCAAAACCTACTCAATAAAGAATATGTCCTCTTTTTAGATAATTTTTCTGTAATAGCAGTACATTTTTAATAGAATCCTAAAACCTAGAAATTATACTGCTTAAGTCAATATACAGATAAAAGGAAAGACTTCTTTCTGAAATTTACTAGAATTTTGCGGTTTGACCTTATTAAGAAGAAAACAATTGGTGTTGCAGACCTTAGTCTGAACAACCAACATCCTAGATATGTGCTTGTGCATGCTCAGTCATTCAGCTGTGTCCACCTCTTTGTGACTTCATGGACTGTAGCCTGCCAGGGTCCCCTGTCCCTGGGATTCTCCAGGCAAGAATACTGGAATGGGTTGCCTTTCCCTCATCCAGGGGGGTATTTCCTATCCAGAGATCGAACCTGTGTCTCCTGCATTAGCAGGCAGATTCTTTACCTCTGAGCCACCTGGGAAGTCCCCTATTCTATCACAAATATGGTTTTAAGGAAAGGCACTTTTTTATATACTAATTATTCATTCAATTAAATTGTCCATTCAATTAAATATTTTGCCATAAATACCTATTTGTGGTAGCCCATCTTAATTTTTTAAAAAAAACCTTTATTATTTTAATGAATTGTTACAGTGTAATTTGTACTTCCTTATAATCTGTTTAAAAAATATAAAATCGAAATAATCTGCACAGAAAGGAAGTGATAATGAAGTGACATGCACATAGTTAATGGGCCATTTTGCACCAGATGACCTTGAGGGAATTTTGTGACTTAGAATGATTTCTATTGTCATAACGCATGGCAGTGAACAAATTCTTAGCGGTCCCACGGCACTATAATGCGCAACTCTCAACTTATTACAGAGTGCTTGCAGGAGTCTGGAGATGGATGAGATTGGCAGCTCTGCTTATTAGCATGTGCAGGCCTGTCAGGGAGCTACCGTGCTTATTTAATGTTCTGTGCCTCATTTACATTTCATGACTTTCGTGAGCACTGTTATGCGTTTCATCTCAAGCTGAGTCATCAGGAGATGCGCCAGATTTCTTCATGTTCCTTTTTTAAAGTGGAGTAATTACCTATAAATGCAACCAATATGTTAAACCATTGGCCTGTTTTTAAATCAGGAAAGGCACATTTTCCCCCAATTTGCATGAGTTTAAGCTTATGGAGGAGTATATAAAGAAGCAATTACCAGTTAATCTCTTGAAGATAATTTCTTGGTTTACATTCATTTGAACAATTGATTATAAAATTTGACCACCTTCCCAACTAATCTATGGTCTTTTTTGGGTTTGCCTCTTAGTTATCTAACTTTGATCAGTGACTAGGTAAACCGGTTCTCAGCAATGAAAACAGGTAACACTTCATCTTTCTTGAGTATCAGCTCCATGGAGAAGCTAACATCACACCCAGGCAATAGAATATCAATTGTATTGGCAACAAAAACCACCCACACACATAGATATTATGTAACACAAAAATGGAAAGCACATATCTGGGAATAAATGAGTATCTTTTCATCCCATTGTGAACTTTTTTCCCTCAGAAAAGAGATTATGCTTTTATAAGACCTTAGTGTTGGTCATGCTTTGGTGCTCATCTAAATTCTGTTCTGCTGATAGGAGACTTTTTTTTTTTTTTTGCTTCTTCCTTATTAAAACATTGCATGTTTTTCTATAAATTTTATAAGCTACAGTTAAGAAAAAAGATGAAAAAACACTATCACCATTTTATCTAAGGGCAACTGCTGTTAACGTAAACATGCATATGTATGTGTCATAGTTATTTTATGTATATATAACCTATTTTTAAAATGTTTTTAAATGACAGCACCCTGAATGATTATTTTGTAAACTGTGCTTTTTATTTACCAGTACAGGATGAGTATCTTTTACTGTCCTTACTTATTTTTTTTTTTTACTAATTAACATTTCTGCTTACAGAGTTGCTCTCTGGATCAATAGTGACCAATATTGATCCCACTAGTCCCTCCTCAGTGCAGAGTTAGGTGTTTCAGCCTTTTCCCTCTCACAGAAATTGCTGAAAAGAATACCGCTGCAGAACACATCCATGATTTTTTATGAATGACATATTTCTACAAACTTATCTATTTCCAGAGTTTTCAAAACTTTTCCAGAAAGATTGCCCAGTTTAATCATCATCAGCCATTGTATTATTGTTTATTTTCCCCAACTCAGGAAAAAAAAAAAACGCTATATATGGTATTTGTTAATCTCATAACATGAGCAGGATATGAAGATTCCTTGGTGATTCTATTGGCATATTAAATTAGCAGTGAGATTGAACTGTTTTTAATTTCATAGTCTCATTGGCCGCTTGAATTTGCTCTTATTGACAGGCTAATGTTTTTCCATTTTATTCTTGGTGTATTTTTTGCCCCCATTTGCTGTTCTCTCTCTATTGTGCTTTTATAAAATCTCTTAGCAGCTCCCCTGTTTGTATGTTACTCCTGTTTTCACCAGCTTGTCACTGGCTGCTCACCCTTCTTGTAGTTTGCTTGGATGCCTCACTCTTTTCATTTCACAATGGACTCCCATGATGGAGGCACCCCTGGAACTGGGACTTTCTACTGAGACTTAAAAGACCGATTCTCCAGACCAGGGAACTCTCACTACCTCCTAATTCTGAATAAAGTGTCTCTTGACCATCTCTATGGTTTCAGATTTCTCAAGTAGCCCACAGTACCTTTTGTCCAAGTTCCAGCTCTAATGAGCTCTGCAAAGCAAAAATGAACTCCAAGTTTGCAGACATTTAACCGGTGGCACCATCCTGCCCTGGTCTACCGGGTGACTGTTTTGAAGCTGTTGATCCTGTTTAGTGGCATGAACACTGAAATGTTTTGGTGCGGCAGTAGTGATGTGTCTAGTTAAAGAGCACTGTTGCACATCTTAGTGGATGAACATGTTATCGCGTGTCAGGAGGAGTGACCCCAAGGGTTTCAAATGAGGGCCTGTTGGTGGATATGGGTTTGAGGATTTTACCTCTATGTCCATTCCCCCTGGAGAATTTCTAGAGTGTCTGAATTGCATTTGATACTAAATCTAATCCTATGTGAAATATTGGGCAAGCTTGCTAATGAAAACCTGATGAGACTAAAATGAAGAGTTCCCCATCAGAAGAGAGAACAAACCCAGCAAGATGGTCCTGCTTAATTCCACACCAAGTCTTTAAATAACCTCATTGGAAAATGCCTCCTGGGACCAGTGTGAATAAGACAGGATCTTCCCTTTGTTTCTTATAAATTAATATTTGGGTCTCATCCTGAACTCCTCCGGCTGGTGGCGCCCTTGTACGCGGTGCCCTGAATCCGCCAAGTTTGTTCTTTTCAAGCCTGCGTGGAGCAGCATCGCCTGGGACCCTCAGGTGCCCCGCTCCCCAGCTCAGCACCACCTCTTCTGTCTGTTCGGGCTCTCGTGCTCCACGCTGTCAGCAGCCGCTTGATTCCGGGGAGGCTGCTCTGTGGTTCAGTCACTAAGTCCTGTCTGATTCTTCACACTTAGCTGATTGTTTCCACACTATTTATTAAAATAAAACTGCATGCTAGGGGAAATGTGGTTGAAATCATTTTTGAGAAAATTATATTGAATTGCTCTTGAGAGTACATGTTTAAGAATTTATTATAAATATTTCCTGTGATATTATTCAGAGCTTGCCTTTGATGAAACTGAAGTTATAACAAAACGTCTTGGGATTCGTTAGATTTTGTCTTATGGAAAGTTAAGTTTTCAGGATGTTAAGTGGGTGTTTAAAGACACATTCATCTCAGAAGATTACAAAGTGTACATCTTCATCTTATTTTCAAAAAACGTCCCTGTGTATTTGTGTGGGAATTATCAGCAATTAGCATAATCCCTTCTCTACTTGTTTTTTCCCCTGAATATGTGCATAATCAATGAAGTGAAATGAGGTATACAGTTTAGAGGGAACAGTACAATTTAATCAGGGTGTTTTTTTTTTAACAACTTGGTGACAATTCACAGTGTTTAATACGAAAACCTTTAACCTAGTATTTTAACACATCTATCTAAAATTAGTGTGTGTCAATTTTGCAGTGTTTTAATAACTTCCACAGCACAGAAGCTTTAACAGAGGTCTTATCTACTAAATGTAAATACCCCCAAAATTTTCAGGCTCAAGAATGAAGACCGTCGTGCCTGTTGGCAATGATCAACTACATAATTGTTGACTTAGGTAAATGCTTTGGATTAAAGATCGAAGACTGCAGAAAACATTAGATTTATTACTATTATCTAAAATGCTTCTTCCTGATAATAACATATTAAGCACTGTGATAAAATGATATTTTTAGGGGTTTTAACTTTCTGCCAAGCCTCCTCTTGCATGTGTCCCCAGATATCACCTAAATCTTACTTGCTAGTTTTGTCATTTTGAAATCTGGACACAATACCCCAAGCCCTGCATATAGCAGAGGACTGTGAGAAATCTATGAAATAACAAATCTTCATTTATTCAGCATATATTTCCTGCATATTTATTGTGATCAAAAACTCCTAGGCTTAGGGTTACAAAAGTGAACAGGCGGTGAATGATCAATTATACCATTTGAAGCAAACTTCCTAGAGTAAGTGAGCAATGATTTCTTTGTAAACCACAAGAAATGACCAAAGAATTGACATGGCCATAAACTGATATCAATGGGGATATTTTACCCTCTCCAAATTTCTTTTTTTTTCTTATATTTATAGTGTACTTGACAGAAGTGTGGGGGATTCAGGTAACCTATCCAGTTTAACTGGATAAAGTTTGAAAGTATAGGATGTACATTTCATTTGCCAGCATTGATAATCCTCCTTAAAAATGGAGTGGGGTGTTATATAAAATTTGGTAATGATCACACTAAAAAATGTGCAGACCTCCTAGGTCAGTTTAATAACACCGCGTGCAGTCTCTAATGAGCTCCCACTGACCGCATGCCTCTCTCCTCCGCGGCAGCGGCGTGCGGAGGGAACCTGACCGGGCCCGCGGGGGTCATCCTGTCCCCCAACTACCCGCAGCCCTACCCGCCCGGGAAGGAGTGCGACTGGAGGGTGAAGGTGAACCCAGACTTCGTCATCGCCCTGATATTCAAAAGGTACCGTGTTTGTGGACTCCTTCCTGGTAGCAGGACTTGAAATGTCACAGCTTGCAATGAATGCACTCATCCTTTCAGAGGGCCTTCAATTTCACATCTCGAATCTAAAAGGGATAATATCAGGATGCAGGAAGACAAACATGGAGATCGGTTGTTTCGCTTTTCAACATTCTACTTGAATTAGGATACACATGATGTGGCAGGAATTACTTCTAAATACTATCTTGCACACATTTTTACAATGTGTTCCACACGAGAGGGCTTAATTTACAGAATATTAAAGAAAATAAAGGGGTGATTTAGATTTACTTGTGGCTTGCCAGGTGGCTCAGTGGTAAAGAATTAGCCTGCCAGTGCAAGAGACGAGGGTTCAATCCCTGGGTAAGGAAGATCCCTGGAAGAGGAAATACCAGCCCATCCCAGTATCCTTGCCTGGAGAATCCCATGGACGAAAGGAGCCTGGTTGGCTAGAGCCCATGGGGTCACAAAGAGTCAGACACAACTGAGCGACTGATACATAGATATACTTAGTATAATTTCTCATCAATGTCTCATATTTCTCTTAGTGCATGGGCACTAATTCATTTCCAAGTGCATCCTGTCTGACCTCCCGAAGGTGGTGTTGTTATTAATAATCATTAAAATACTCAAGACTTGCTAGAACTCTGAAAACACAAATTCCCCAAATTTCAATGCCATAAAGTTTCAATTAATAGACATTAGTCCTTTTAAAAAAATGCTAATTTTTAATGGTAAAAATTCAAATCATAATATGATTATATTACACATATAAATTCTATATAACTATCACATTATTAATATCTGGCATACAATAATTGCATCTTTCCAAATCCCTAGATATTTTCCAAGTGTACATTTTGATTTTTGACCTAGATAAAGTGATGAAAGAAAAGTGGTTCTATATGCTGTCTTATTGGTCTCAGCTCTCCAAGGCAGAGTGGTCTAATCATATTTATTTATCTGTCAATGGAACACGTTTCTCTCACTGGGATGTTTATATCAGTATTCCAGGGCTGGTGGTGCTCTCTTCCTCACTTTCTCCTCTTGATGAGATCTGACTCAGGGTAATTTTAAACCTCTGTGACTCTGAATTTTAAGTAGTTTGATAAGCCATCGCTTCCTGAGTTTACTCAAACTGCTATAAATTTACCAAATGATGAGTACTTTATTATGCCACTTAGCTATTACACAAAGGCTGTGAACATTTGCTAGGTTATGTTTTTGATTATCCTTATGATTTTTGTTAATGCTAAATTCTAATGAAGCCTTTCTTAGAACCAGGAGACACCTCTGCTGCCAGGGGATCAAAAGTAAGGTAACAATTAAAAGCCTTTTAGAGAGCACAGAGCCTTTTTTGTAGGCGTTTCCTGCCTTGGGTCACGGAGAGTGACTCATTATCAAGTTTCCCACAGCGCATGTCATTTGATAATATATAAGGCAGTTTTATATTATGCAAGTAGTTTTTCACTTAATTTTTGTGCACCTCCCTGGAAGAAGGTTGACCTAGAAAATCTCCAGGTTTTCTTCTAAGAGTTTGGAATCATTCGCTGGCTGGGTGTCATAGAAACTTGCACGTTTGTGACATCTTCTAAGAAATGGACAGCTTGTGTGTGCTCGGGTGGGACATTTTTCTGGGACCTCAGCTCCTAGATTTACTGAGTAGACAGAGGGAGGAAGCCAGGGTACCAGATGGGAACAGAGATGCTCAAGGAACCTGGCAGAGAGGCTGCTGTTGGCACAGGCTTCAGCTGGGGGGTGGGGGGAGCCTGGCAGAGACAGAAATAAAGGTGACGGAGACAGAGAATGACAGGGCCTGGAGCACACACATGGGAGCTTCAAGGCTCGTCCTGTATGTGGGGCTCTTTGGGGAGGAGTGTTTTATCAAAACTTCTGTAGACTTTGGGGTTAATGCCACTCACATACTGGAACCCAAATTGAATTTGGTTTAAAAGCATGGCCAGACTTAGGCCTACCTATTCTTGGAGTGTGTAGATCTGTGCATCTGGTGTAGGTAGGTATAAGAGAGGACTTAACCAAAAGGCACCGTCGTTAACTGTAGGAATCACTACAGACCTCTGTGTATACGTGATGGGGCATCCAAAGCAGACGGCAGTTAGAATGTACTTGTTTGTGCCTGATCGAATTTCCATCTTTCAGAATAATCTATCATAATAATTAGTTATGCCAGTTATAGGGGTGTCACATGACCAGAATCTAAAAACATCCCTGTAAACTATTCTAACTGAAATTGTTATTACTATCAAACTCTGTTTGGTCACTGCAATTCCTTTTGGCCTCTTTATTCACTCTGTGATCATTCCAGTCTTTTACTTCCTCTTCATTTCCAACTTCAGGGAACTTATCAGATAAACAGGCTCTGAAACCTTTAACAAACTCCTGGAGTAAATGTGTCATGTGGGAGCGGGGGCACCTTGACAGGGAGTAGGGCGGAGAAGTGCAGATGCAAGTATCACATTGATGTGGGGTCCATGGCCGCCCCCCCGCTGCACCCTTCAGGACCTGGGGCAGCTTCGGGAGGGACCTGGCATTCACGTTTCATCACTTGAAGTACAGATGCAGGTATCACACTCATGTGGGGTCCGTGGACGTCCCCCACGCTGCACCCTTCAGAACCCAGAGCAGCTTTGGGAGGGACCTGGCGTTCATGTTTTATCACTTGAATCTCCAGATAAATTTGAGCCACTTAAACAACAGCACGTGTTTGTGATAATACCTAAAAACGCCTGACTCTTTCCATCCTTGAATATCCAAATATGCCACCGAGAGAAAGGAAAGAGAGTGGAAGCTGCCTGGACTGGTCCACGTTAGAGACCCTGAAGTATCTGACTTAGAGGTGCAGGGATGGAGGAAGGCCAGGCAGAATGGACACAGCAGTGCCTCTGTCTGGTGTATTTGCTCTGCTGACCCCACTGGGGTCTTAGATGCCTGAACCAAGTTCAGTCTTTTACTTGAGAGTAGGCATATGTTTCAAGTTCCCAGATTATTGTCATCCTTATTGTCATAAATGGCAGAGACATTTAATACCGTATCCCACTTGAGAGCTTTGGACTTTAATTGTCAGACACTGGAAATTATTAGGGTGTTCACATTACGAGAGAGACAGAGAAATGCAGAGTGTGAAAGGGAGAGAGGAAGAAGGAGGGAGAAGGGAGAGAAAATTGGAACATCCAGTTGTGGTGAAATGACATGAGGTTTAATTTCCACACTTTGTACCATCATAAGGACTGCAAATATTGGCTGAATTACCTAAGCAAGCAGAGGCAATTACAATTTTAAAAGTAAAGAACCAAAAATATTTTTGAACTTAAGGAATCATCAGCAACACCAAGGATTAACAGCAGGCAGTCTTTTTACCATCTGAGCCACCAGGGAAGCCCAAACACCAAGGATATATATTATTAAACTGAAAGTATTTTCACATAAAAATCAAATATCAGTGGAAATGCATCACTTCTGAACCCCCTTCCTTTAAACTGCATTCATTAGAAATATCACAGTTACAGGGAAGAGACACTGCATCTATGTTGCAGTGACTCATTTTCCTTTATATATCTTCAAAATCAAACTGTATTGAAGGTAATGGTTATTATGTAAAATACTAATAATACTTGTTACAATTGGTGTCTGTTGTATTTATTGCCATTTTGATTATTATTGTATTTAGCTTTTGGATCGTCCTGCTTTTCAAAACTTAAAATACAAAGGCAAATACAATTGCTGTGTGCTCTCAAAGACTTGATAGTTGGCAAGAAGAGAGACACATATAGGAGGTACGGAAACTCATCAATATTCTTTCCTTTCAGTTTCAACATGGAGCCCAGCTATGATTTCCTGCACATCTATGAAGGAGAGGACTCCAACAGCCCTCTCATTGGAAGTTTCCAGGGCTCTCAAGCCCCAGAAAGAATTGAGAGCAGCGGAAATAGTCTTTTCCTGGCGTTTCGAAGTGATGCTTCTGTGGGCTTGTCGGGGTTTGCCATTGAATTTAAAGGTACTGTGATCAGCTTAACTGGCAAGGAAAGTAATTTGCATCACAGTTGCTTTCATTGTAGACATTTATTTATAAAGTCTTGCCTATCTCATTAATGCATAAAATTCTGACAACTTTCTCACCTGTCTGGAGAAGAGGTTCCAATCTCTCCAGAGGAGAAGAAATTTCCAACATGAATTTCTGCCTTAGCCAAAAGAAAATAAAGTAGGGGAGGATGTTTTGTTTTGTTTTGTTTTCCTTCAGACGCATGGCCATTTAAAGATAAATTATGATTGGCGCTGGTGGTAAAGAACCTGCCTGTCAATCCAGGAGACATAAGAGATGTGGGTTCAATCCCTGGGTCAGGAAGATCCCCTGGAGGAGGAAATGACAACCCACTCCAGTATTCTTGCCTGGAGAATCCCATGGACCGAGGAGCCTGGGGGTGGGGGCTACAGTCCATGGGGTCTCAAAGAATCAGACACAACTTAAGTGACTTAGGACATGCAATGAATAATTGAAGTAATTAAGAACTATTTTAAGAGTATTTTACTATCTTTCTTCTCTAGGATGACTCAATATAAGTACATCAACCAGCTTAGCTTTATCTCAGTATTTTTCAAAATGTAAAATACTGATGGCCCTTTCCCTGTCCTTACACCCATGGTGTTGGTTTGATGGGGAGAAAGCACTGATCCCAAGGCTTTCCAGGTGGCACTAGTGGTAAAGAATCCTGCCTGCCAGTGCATGAGACAAAAGGAACATGGGTTTGATCCCTGGGTTGGGAAGATCCCTGGAGGAGGAAATGGTAACCCACTGCAGTATTCTTGCCTGGAGAATCCCATAGACAGAAGAGCCTGGTGGGCCACAATCCATGGAGTTGCAGAGTCGGACATGGCTGAGTGATTGAGCACAGCGGGACACACCCACACACAAGCACTGATTCTGCTCACATCTTTCTCCTTTGGTCACATGATGAGTGTCGCCCACTTCTCTGGGGTCTACCACCCACTGTCACCAGCATCCAGAGAAAACACACAGAAAACTCATAAGCAAAAACCACCCCAACCTAAGCATTTTGCCCTTGGGTTAATGAAAATAAATAATCAATTTTTTTCAAATCTGTTTCTCATGTGAACAAGGAAAACACAGGTCACCTTACAAAGAATCAGAGAAAAGAACTCGCCAACATATTAATTCACAGTAGTGAGGGCTTTATAAACATAATGAATATATATATGTATGTATATGTTTGTTTGTTTAAGCGTGTGAATTAGTTACTAGTTACCAGAATTGTTAAATAAAACATAGACTTTTCCAACTCTTGTTAACCTTTTAACGAACTTGCATTTATTGATATGATTTTTAAGCAGAAGATTGATCTACTTCTTCCAAAACACTAACATCTACAAACTTACCGATCTTTATTATAGTTTATAATTTTATCACTTGAAAGTGGAATCTTTACTGTGCCCATTTTTGCATGAAATGTTCCCTTGTTATCTCTAATTCTCTTCAAGAAATCTCTAGTCTTCCCCATTCTATTGTTTTCCTCTATTTCTTTGCACTGATCACTGAGGAAGGCTTTCTTATCTCTCCTTGCTATTCTTTGGAAGTCTGCATTCAAATGGGTATATCTTGCCTTTTCTCCTTTGCTTTTTGCTTCTCTTCTTTTCACAGCTATTTGTAAGGCTTCCTCAGAAAGCCGTATTGCTCTTTTGCATTTCTTTTTCTTAGGGATGGTCTTGATCCCTGTCTCCTGTACAATGTCACCAACCTCCGTCCACACTTCATCAGGCACTCTGTCTATCAGATCTATTCCCTTAAATATATTTCTCACTTCCACTATAGAATCATAAGGGATTTGATTTAGGTTATACCTGAATGGTCTAATGGTTTTCCCTACTTTCTTCAATTTAAGTCTGAATTTGGTAATAAGGACTTCATGATCTGAGCCACAGTCAGCTCCCAATCTTGTTTTTGCTGACTGTATAGAGTTTCTCCATCTTTGGCTGCAAAGAATATAATCAATCTGATTTCAGTGTTGACCATCTGGTGATGTCCATGTGTAGAGTCTTCTCTTATGTTATTGCAAGAGGGTGTTTGCTATGACCAGTGTGTTCTCTTGGCAAAACTCTATTAGCCTTTGCCCTGCTTCAGTCTGTATTCCAAGGCCAAATTTGCCTGTTACGCCAGGTGTTTCTTGACTTCCTACTTTTGCATTACAGTCCCCTATAATGAAAAGGACATCTCTTTTGGGTGTTAGTTCTAAAAGGTCTTATAGGTCTTCATATAGGTTCAACTTCAGTTTCTTCAGCATTACTGGTCGGGGCATAGACTTGGATTACCATGATATTGAATGGTTTGCCTTGGAAATGAACAGAGATAATTCTGTCATTTTTTGAGAATGCATCCAAGCACTGCATTTTGGAGTCTTTTGTTGACTGTGATGGCTACTCCATTTCTTCTAAGCTATTCTTGCCCACAAGAGTAGATATAAGGGTCATCTGAGCTAAACTCACCCATTCCAGTCCATTTTAGTTCGCTGAGTCCTAAAATGTCAACGTTCACTCTTGCCATCTCCTGTTTGACCACTTCCAATTTGCCTTGATTCATGGACCTGACATTCCAAGTTCCTATGCAACATTGCTCTTTACAGCATCAGACCCTGCTTCTATCACCAGTCACATCCACAACTGTGCGTTGTTTTTGCTTTGGCTCTGTCTCTTCCTTCTTTCTGGAGTTATTTCTCCACTGATCTCCAGTAGCATATTGGGCAAGCATATTGGGGAGTTCATATTTCAGTGTCCTATCTTTTTGCCTTTTCATACTGCTCATGAGGCATGAGTTTGAGTAAACTCCGGGAGTTGGTGATGGACAGGGAGGGCTGGCGTGCTGTAGTCCACGGGGTTGCAAAGAATCGGACACTACTGAGCGACTGAACTGAACTGAAGTGTAATCTAAAAAATAATACAAATTAATGTATAAGCAAAACAGAAACAGCCTCATAGAATAGGAAACAAACCTGTGGTTACCAAATGGGGGAAGGAAAGGGGAGAGACAAACTAGGGGTATAGGATTGACTAACTACTACTTACCCAGAGTAAAGAATCTGCCTGCAATGCAGGAGACCTGGGTTCACTTCCTGGGTGGGGAAGATCCCCTGGAGAAGGAAATGGCAACCCGCTCCAGTATTCTTGCCTGGAAAATCCCATGGACAGAGGGGCCTGGCAGGCTTCTGCACACGGGGTCACAAAGAGTTGGACATGCCTGAGTGACTGGCACACACACACACACATGTGTAAAAGAGATGAGCAGCAAGGACGTTTTTTACAGCACAGGGAGTTATAGCCACTATTTTGTTGTTGTTCAGCTGCTAAGTGGTGTCTGACTCTGCGACCCCATGGATTGCAGCACCGCAGGCTTCTCTGTCCTTCACTATCTCCTGGAGTTTGCTCAAACTCATGTCCGTTTAGTTGGTGATGCCATCCAACCATCTCATCCTCTGTTGTTCACAGCACAGGAAATTGAAGCCATTATTTTGTAATAACTTATGATGGAATACAATCTGCAAAAATAGTAAATCACCATACTGTTGGTACACCTGAAACTAATATAATATTGTAAATCAACTGGACTTCAAGGGAAATAAAAAGACTATGCATTTGTCATTGGTCAGGGAAGCAGAGAGCAGACCCAGCCCTTGGACTTGACCTGAAGGAGCCTCAGGGCAGTCCTGCCAGTGACCCCAGAGACCCCGCAGAGTCCATCAGCACGGCTCTAGGGCTGGAGTTCTGGAAAGTGGCCTTAAGCAGAACTGACAGGAGCTGTGTAATGAAGTCATCTCCTTAGAAATTGTGACAAATTGTAAGCAGAAAAAGTACCGTGATTTATCACCAAACATCCTGAACTGACAACTGAGTAAATGGAACCAAAAGATTCGATGCAGTTCATTTGGAGAAATGAAGAAAAACTGGCCTCAGAGTTCTCCATTAGCAACATGGAGCAGAAAATTGAGGGTGTGTTATTTAACCAAACATACCCTAAACCAACAGACATTTATAACAAAAAATTATCAGAAAGGCTGACCAGGCATCAGAAATGCATTTTTTCTCTCTTATTTTATAGGAGAAAAATGTATACCCTAGACCAGAGCTTGTATCTATTAGATGCTGGGTATGTTCTCCTGGAAGGAAGCTGATGGAAAGATTATTCTGGTGACCACAGTTTTGCTTATTCATCCCTTATTTGCTTAAAATAAATCATCTGTGCTCTACGTGGGATTTGAGGAAGCTACAAAGAATTATCAGAATGTCCCCTACTCCTTGAACAAATCAGTTTTCAACGAAGTGATTAGAGAGTGTGGATCCCAACAGAGTTCACAGCTCTTGCTGCGAGACTCTAACCAGAGCAAAATAGAGGACCTAGAGTCTCCAAAATGTATATATGTGATATATTATGTATGATAATTGAAATATTATGCATGGCATACGATATGTATGATGTATGATAATGTTCAATATGTTATGTATGATAATATAGTACATATGGCATATGATGCAACTGTATGGTGATGTTTAATATGTGTGATAATATAGTGCACATGGTATATGATACACATGATAATGAGGTATGATATGTGATAATTGTTATATTATCTATGATATATATGATTATATAGCACATATGATACTCATGATAATATAATATTTATATATTTATGTTGTGCTTTTAACAAAAGTATGTACATAATATATTCTAATAGTTGGTTATAATAGATTGGGACAACACTGCCAAAGAGATCTCTGTTTGGCTGATATTGACACAGAGACAATTAAAAATATACTGAGAAGTATTGAATAAATACAGCCGAACAGGCCTCTTCTCTGTCCTGCAAAACATCACAAAGTTTGTGCCTTTTCCCTCTTCTACTGCATGTTAACCTTTCCTCGGAGGATGCAAGATGTGGTTTTCAGCGCTCATTTCATCTTCACTCTTTCCCAGCTCCCCTGCCACAGTCCCCCAGGAGCATCCTCTAACACCACTGTGCAGATTTACTCACTGGCAGTGAGCTTCCCAGGTGGTGCAGTGATCAAGAGCCCTCCTGCCAATGCAGGAGATACAAGAGAGGGGAGTTTGATCCCTGAGTCGGAAGATCCCCTGGAGAAGGAAATGGCAACCCACTCCATCGTTCTTGCCTGGAGATTTCCATGGATGGAGGAGCCTGGTGGGCTACAGTCCGTGAGGTTGCAAGAAGTCAGACATGACTGAACACACATACATAGTAGGCAGACACTCAGTGAGGGAAAATGTTTAAAAGGGAACATAATCCATATTGATCACAACTCCCCATAAAGGTAAAATGAAGCCCTGCATTTATACTCTCCAGAAATCCTTTATGTGTGTGCTTAGCCCTGGGGGAAAGATTGTCAAAAAAATGAAAAGAGCTGAAAGATATTTATTTTATGCACTCAAGTTATCCTTGAGCCTATATTTGTATTATTAATGATAACCCCATTCCACACACACATACACTCACTCATATTCATAACAAACAGCATTTTCTTAACTGTAACCTCCCCAAAACAGAAAAACATTTCAGTATAACATCTATATTGATCACTTGAAAAGTCGTAAAATTCCATTCCAGAGGTTTCTGATGTTACAAGGGGCTTTGTTGATGGAGTGAACGATGTTGACAAGTACAAACAGAAAGCAATTCAAATGGAATTGTATGCAACAGAAGAAGATAGAAATACATGATTTAGAGATATTTGGAAGGTCTGCTAAAATAGAACATTTACAATATTAAAACTACCAAGACACAAGCTACAAGACACAGCTACAAGACTGTGTGAGAAAGAAGACAGCTTTGTACTTATATTTGGAAGAAGATAGGTTTTTAGTCTTGGAAGGAAAGCTATGACACACCTACCTAGAAATTGTATTAAAAAGCAGAGACATCATCTTGCCGACAAAGGTTCATCTAGTCAAAGCTATGGTTTTTCCAGTAGTCGTGTATGGATGTGAGAGTTGGACCATAAAGCAGGCTGAGTGCTGAAGAACTGATGTTTTGGAATTGTGGTGCTGGAGAAGATTCTTGAGAGTCCCCTGGACAGCAAGGAGATCAAACCAGTCAATTCTAAAGGAAATCAACCCTGAATATTCATTGGAAGGACTTACGCTGAAGCTCCAAAACTTTGGCCACCTAATGTGAAGAGCCAACTCATTGATAAAGACTCTGATGCTGGGAAAGATTGAGGGCAAGAGGAGAAGGGCGTGGCAAAGGATGAGATGGTTGAATGGCATCACCAACTCAATGGACAGCAATTTGAGCAAACTCCGGGAGATGGTTGAAGGATAAGGAAACCTGAAATGCTGCAGTCCATGAGGTTGCACAGAGTCGGACACGACTGAGTGACTAAACAACTACAAGGTTTTTATTATTATTATTATTTAAATAACAACAAGGTTTTTAGCAAATGTGTCCTTTAGTGGCCCTATAACTGGACAGGAATTTGCAAGGCATTTTTGTGAAAGTTATTTAGCCTATCTTGAGCTTCATGTTGTCAAAATGTGAAACAGTGCCCAGATCATCCTCATGTCTCAGAAGTGGGTGAACATTTGAATGAAATATGCAAGATACACAGCTCAATTCCTGATAGATGATCCACCCTCACTTCCTTGCAGCAGGTACTGCAATTAGAGTGGAACTGTGCTGGGTAATTATTACATCCCAGGCACAGGGCTTGGCCCTGATCCATTCCTATGGATCAGCAAACATGTTTTCCAGCTCAGTCTGGCATCACTGACTCAGTGAGGGTAGTACAGGATCAGAACTTCCTTTCTTGATTATCTTCCCAGCATAAAAAAATCACTCTTAGCTCACATGAATTAAACCAGCTTCCTTTTGAGAAGCCAGTTCTCCCATGTCTTCCTAAAATGTGATGTGATTTCATTTTACTATGAAGTAAGTACAAAAGTCAGGAAATCAACTACAATAGGAATTCTGCAGTGTGTTGTCATTTGAAAAATGAGAAATATAATTTTATCGAAGGAGTTTTTTCTGTTTTTCTATGATAATCATTGACTTGAACATTAACAACTTGGTTATGAGTCAATCGATTTTTTTTTGAGCATTTTTCGTTTGCTGGACACTTAAAGAAATAAAATCCCTGCTCTCATGGAGTTGGCATTCATTTCTCCCACAGAGAAACCACGGGAAGCCTGTTTTGACCCTGGAAACATAATGAATGGGACGAGGATCGGGACCGACTTCAAGCTCGGCTCAACTGTCACTTACCAGTGTGACTCTGGCTACAAGATCGCTGACCCATCTTCTATCACGTGTGTGATTGGAGTGGACGGAAAGCCCGCGTGGAATCGGGTCTTGCCCTCCTGCAATGGTACGTGCCGACGCGTGGGGCCAGAGCTGCCTTCAGAGATAACTTCCCTCTGGAACTCGGACCCTCAATCAGGAGAGGGGCCGCACATCAGTCCTCTGCCCCTATCAGTGGGGTGACCCCACAGAGCAACGTGGGATAAGGATTTGGCCTTCCTTGAGCATTTAATTTAATTTATTCAGGTTTCTGGGAGGGGGTTATTTTTCTTTCACTTAGATAGTTGGGCATTTCTAACTGTGAAAACTGTGCATTGTATTAAATTCAAACATACTTTGAACTTATGAGGGAAGATAAATTCTCCAGCCACAGACTCAATGAAAAAAAAAAAAGAGGTCACATTTAGGCAATAGATAAATAATCTAATTTTAAATTAGAGGTTTTTCCACATCTCAAGACCCAGAAAGCATGGTTTCTGTTAACTAATCATCGTATGTATGTGCATAAAACATCAAAGAATGATTTTTCCTTATTTATTTAAATTTAAATAAAACTTAAGAATTCCAAATCATTAAGCAGAAATGACTTCTCCCATATATTATTTGGTATATCTCATGAAGAACAGCACATTTGTGCTGAATTATGTCTGTGAATTACTCAGATCACCAATTAAGCTAAGTGAATGTTGCTATATTTTAAACATCTTCGTAGTTTGTATATTAAAGGACATATTTTGGACTAGTTTGTTTTAAAGTCATGACATAATTTTTCTTTCTGTTGTTTGCAGTTCTTGTTCATTGAGGTTTCCTACTGAATTAGAACAGAAATGGAAACAGCCTCAAGTCCCTTGCACGGGTCAAAATGGCTTCTGTTTATGTTGTTTTTGGTTTACATATATTCCAATTAACCAAATGAATGAGTTAGTTTCTTGTTACCATCTGCAGTGAATGTTGTTGCATGTCCTTATTAATTTAGGAAATGGTCTGTTTAATACATTAATTACCAGAGAACAAGAGCATATTCATTTTCCTATTATTATCATAATAATATAAAAGAATTTAGCATAAGAAAAGTGATTCCTATTTCTCAGATTACCACAGTAACATGGACAGAATAATTATTACTAATTAAACAAGAATTCTCTATATATGTTTCTCAATTGCACAAATGTTTGGTTACTTTGAAGTATATCATGCAGTTTTGGTGCTTATCTTCAAATCTGGGGAAGAATGTATAAGTACAGTGCAATTTATCAAAGTAGCAGAGGACCTAAAATGCTACGTCTGTTTTCTTTCATTTCATCCTTTTTAGTTTTCATTGTTTCCTATTATCATAAAGTAATATTCTTTCATCCTATTTGTGAACAAAATAAATCTTTGCAGAAATGCTGGAAGACTCCTTCTGTCAATTTAGATGTATCATTTAATTTTTTAAAAAAATCAACCATACAAATTCAACCATGTTGTTTCTGAAATATATACATATATATAGTTATATATTTCAGACTTGTGGGCTGCAGTCCACAGGGTCTCAAAGAGTCAGATATGACTGAGCAACTAAGCACAACAGTTACACTTGAACAAATATATCGGAAGATGTGATTCCTGATTGATAACATTTCCGTGTAATCGTCTGGCCATCCAAATATTAGCCCAGAGAAGATTTATTTCCACTTTTCATTTATGCTTCTTGTTTAAAATTCAAAATAGTTTAACTTTTTCTTACAGAAAATGGATATTTGCAAAAGGATCTGCTTGAATTTTATGTCTAAAAGAAAATAAATTTCTGTTCTTCATTTGTACTTATCTTTAAAAATTTGAACTTTGAGTGTTTAAGAAAATTTATTAGGTGTATGTATAAATACAAATGTATACATATACATATATATATGTATTTTGGAAATAACGTGGTTCAATTTGTATGGCTGATTTTTTAAAAATTGAGTGATCCATCTCAACTGGTAGGAGTCTTGCCACATTTCACTGAAAACCTTGAGCTTTGAAGTTTAGCGTAGAGAATTTCCTCCATCTAAAAGTAAAAACTTTTTTTCTATTTAAAACTGTTAAAAAAAGAAGTCATGGCAATTGTTTTAGGGTGATAAAATTGCTCTGAGTTAATACATTAGCATGAAAGCTGCTCTTAGCTTAGTTAAGTGAAATCTCTACTAGTGTAAAGTTATCAGGCGTCTAAGCTGTCTCCGCTGACTTTCTAGAGCATGACTTCTGTTTCCAGGTGCATAGAGCAGGCCCTGGGAAATCTGCGCAGTCATCAGTGAGGTGCTTTGACGCCAGCATCAACATCCGAGGAGCTTTATTCATCCTGGCCATCCATTAGGACTTAACAGTGTGCTAATCAAAAGATTAAGCACGTTATCTCTGATTTCTATCCTTCTTAATGCTTGAAAACTGTCACACTGAGAAGAAATAAGCTGTAGAAATACAAACTTTCCCTCAGACTGAAAATAACTATGAATGAATCCAGATCACAAAAGGTGTACCCAGGATAAGGAAGCGTGTAGTCAGGCCACAGAGAGTGCAATCAGTGTCACATCAGTGGATATGTAGTATTCTAAACAGATGAGCAGACATGGAACTCTTTTTAAGTAAAAATAGGAAAAATTGAAGGATTTGCAATTTAATCCCAAAACTGGGTTTTTCAAAACTGGAATTTAATTGGATGTCTACTTTAAGATGCTTAGCAATAGTATTTTGAATATCCAGGCTACAGTTTTTTTCTATTTTCTCAGCAAGTGCAATGCTGAGAGTAAATAAGATGATCAGAGGGAAAATAAACACACAGTCTGTCTCTCACTGAGTTGTGCATGTAGCACGTCATCAGTGTACCTGCCTTAACTTTCTACTTTTGGGTTCCTTCAGCTTTCAGTGGGATTTACAAGAAGAGACCCCAGATACATTAGTAACTGTACCTGTCACTCTTGAGCTGAATCTATGATGAAAAGATAGCAAAGACTAAAAATGATTATTTTTCTTTTAGTCTCATAGTAATTAGACAATAGAAAATGGAAATAATCTTTGTATCACTTAAGTTAATATGGTGTTTGAGATCAACTGGAAAATTCTAGTGAGACTTTTGAAGTAACTTAAGAATTTGTCTTTACTCGACCTGTTCCTACTCTCATGAGAACTGTTTCCATTATTATTTTAGCATGTCTGAGAACATTCTTAAAAATAATATTAGGTCCTCCTCTTAATTTGAGTTACTTTTTTTCTCACCTGCTCAGTCTTTGCTTTTCTTCTTATTTCACTTTTGATGGACATGTGAAATCCATTTGTGACTATGATACTTTGTTAGGACTTTGAATATTCATGTTGACTGCACAATGCTGACATTTTCAGGTCCCTGTCACCTGCCGCGTGGTTACGCACAGCACATAATTCTCGGTTGGTCTCTTTCAGCCCCCTGCGGAGGCCAGTACACGGGGTCAGAGGGGGTGGTATTGTCACCCAACTACCCTCACAACTATACCGCCGGTCAGACCTGCCTCTATTCAATAACGGTGCCAAAGGAATTCGGTAAGGTTTTCTTATTTTCAATTCACTGTCATATCTCTTTCTGTGTTAAGATTCCCATCATAATACATCAGCTCTTGACTTAATGAAATAGTATAAAAGAAGATGATGTGTGACAGGTTTTCAGGTTTTGCAAAGGTGTCTCATAAAAGATCCGATGCAGGTCTTTTATCAGTGTGATGGAAAATGCTTAAACTTCCTTCTCGGATTCCAGTCCAGAATTAGCAGAATAATTTTGGCGTTGCTCTTGTTTTTGTTAGGAAGCATTTTCTCATTTGGTTGCTTGTGGGTAAGGAAGATCGTTGCCTCACATGTGGGCCAGGGGAACCTGATCAGTCTGTGAGATACTGGCGTGTATATTTGGTTATTGATTACTCTGGAAATCACTGGGTCAGTGAACCCACCTTTGAGTGACTGCAGATGTAAAAGCAGGCAGTGCCCTATCTGACCCCTCCAAACCTGACATCCCGTTTCTTTCCTGAACTTGGCTTCCAGCCTGAGCCAATTTTCTGGGATGGCTTCGTGTCTAGATGGCCCCCCACTGACTGGCTCCTGGCGGCTTCCTCAACATCTCCCCTCTCACTCTAGACCAGGAAGATACTTCTGTGTTGGATTCTTTCCCAGAGTTGGAAGAGAAGAGCTTTTATAATTTTATGGAATAGTTCCTTTCTCTCAACAGTGAAAGTTAAAACCCAACATACTCTATTTTTTTTTTCTTTGCATTCAAAATAGCAGCCACCCACTCATAGAAATAAAACTGACAAAAATTCTAAGGTTCCATTCTGTTTGAGGGCAAATATTTTAAAAACATTTATGTGATGAGAAAGTTAATTGCTGCTTAAGAAACTTGCATATGGGAGACAGATGATTTCTATTAACTTCTTTTATATTAATCACAGGCTTCTAAAAATCTAATAAAAACCTCCTCCAAGGACTTACTTCAGCCTCTGGTAGTTTAGATCACAGGCCTTCATGAACAGTGCAAAGCAATGTACTCAGTATCTTAAGCTCCTTCTTTCAGGCAGTTCTCAAGGGTGGCTGAGTTTCCAGGCAAGGCTTCCCTTGTCTCACCTTGCTCTGTTAAGAAAATCAGGTGTCTGATACTTAGAGGGTGATAGATGTGATCACAGAAACCAGGGCAGAGGGACCAGACTCCCAAGAAGGTCCACTGACTCTATCAGTCAGTGGAAAATGGAAAATAGCAATTTAATTTAAAAACTGAAAGACTGGCTTCAAAATATTTATTTTGTTATAAAAAATGAATAGTATAATGGGCTCCAGTTTCATCCAGAGTGAAGTAAGCCAGAAAGATAAAGACCATTACAGTATACTAACACATATATATGGAATTTAGAAAGATGGTAACGATAGCCCTATATGCAAAACAGAAAAAGAGACCCAAATGTATAGAACAGATTTGTGGACTCAGTGGGAGAAGGCGAGGGTGGGATGTTTCAAGAGAACAGCATCGAAACATGTATATTATCTAGGGTGAAACAGATCACCAGCCCAGGTTGGGTGCATGAGACAAGTGCTTGGGCCTGGTGCACTGGGAAGACCCAGAGGGATGGGGTGGAGAGGGAGGTGGGAGGGGGGACCAGGATGGGGAATACATGTAAATCCATGGCTAATTCATTTCAATGTATGACAAAAACCACTGCAATGTTGTAAAGTAATTAGCCTCCAACTAATAAAAATAAATGAAAAAAAAATGAATAGTAAAACTTAAGTCCTAGATTTCCACTCTTTAGGATGACCGATGACTCTAAAATCCTCTGTTTGTTGTTGTTGTTGTTGAGTCACTGAGTCATGCCCAACTCTTTGTGACCCCGTGGACTGCAGCACACCAGGCTCCCCAGTCCTTCACTGTCCCCCAGGGTTTGCTCAGATTTACGTCCATTGAGTCAGTGATGCCGTCCAACCATCTCATCCTCTGTTGTCCCCTTCTCCTCCTGTCCTGAGTCTTTCCCAGCATCAGGGTCTTTTCTAATGAGTTGGCCCTTGGCGTCAGGTGGCCAAAGTGTTGGAGCTTCAGCTTCAGCATCAGTCCTTCCAGTGACTATTCAGGGTTGATTTCCTTTAGGACAGACTGGTTGCTGTGTCTGCTATCCAGGGACCCTCAAGTCTTCCTCACACCATGGTTTGACGGCGTCAGTTCTTTGGCTCTCAGCTTTCTCTATGGCTGTCACATCTGAATGACCACTGGGAAAACATAGCTTTCAGTATACGGACCTTTGTCAGCAAAGCGGTATTTCTGCTTTTTAATACGCTCTCTAGGTCTGTCATAGCTCTCCTTCCAAGGAGCAAACATCTTTGAATTTCATGGCTGCAGTCACTGCCTGCAGTGATTTTGGAGCCCAGGAAAATAAAGTCTGTCACTGCTTCCACTTTTTCCCATCTATTTGCCATGAAGTGATGGGACCTTGTTCATTTCTCTATTTTTAAAAAAGCACTTTGTGCCAACCCACCCCTTCATTTTCAGTGGTGTTTGGGCAGTTCGCCTATTTCCAGACCGCGCTGAATGACCTGGCAGAGCTGTTTGATGGGACGCACCCTCAGGCCAGACTGCTCAGCTCCCTCTCGGGGTCTCACTCAGGTAAACCTTCCGTGAGCTCTTTCTTTCATTCTAGTCACACAGCCAGGAGAATTAATATTAAGCTTGTCTATTTTTATTTTCTTTTGTGGAGGAGAAATTTAATCATCTTTGAATTTGCTTGCTTGCTTAGTAAAATCTTATTTTCAATGTAAAATTTCAAATGCATTTTTATCCCACACCTGACTTGATTTATTTATTTTTTTTACTGAGACCACAGAAAATTTAATACTTATCTCAGAAGAAAATAAAACTATCAGAAAATAAATACCCTGTTATTTTCTATCCTATAGATGATCTCTGATTTTCCCTCCAGGTGAGACACTGCCTTTGGCCACATCCAACCAAATTCTGCTCCGATTCAGCGCAAAGAGTGGGGCTCCAGCGCGGGGTTTCCACTTCGTGTATCAAGGTGCGTCTCTGCCCCCTTTGCCCTCCTCCCACACCACACGTACCACTGTTTTCAGCACCAAAAGCATGACTTGTACTTCATTTAATAATTGAGAGTTTGATGGTATCTGCATAATTATAATAACATTACTTAATAAAAATACTGAAGTTTTTCTTTTGACAATTAAATATGATATTTCTAAGACAAAGATACAGTTGTGCTTCATTTATTTGACAGGATCAGGAAACAAATATTTATGTGATTACCTTAGTTTAGCACTCTACTATTTGCAAAATAATTTCAAATGTGTCAATATTATTTCACCTAATTAAGTAAAATATTTCATAATAGATTTTAGTAACCATCTTAATGAAGCACACTTAAAACACATTGTATGATTCCAAACCTTGCTGTAAAAATTAATTGAAAAAAGAAATGTAACAAAACCAAACTAAACCCAAGGTACCACCCATGTTTCTATCACTGGAGGTACCTATTTTATTTTGCTTAAGTTCTAACTTTAGGCACAGTCACATCTTTACATTTATTTTTGAACTTGGAGCTTATTCAAAATGCTTGAAATTGAGCAAAGGTTCTGAACTATGAAGATTTCTTTCCTGTTTCTAGTTCACCTTAGTTTGCATATCCATTATGTGAATTTGAGAGTACACCCCATGGACTGAAAAGTTTGTCCACTTTCAGAGGCACAGGGAAAGTCTCTGGATCTAAATTGTGATAACTGTCCCCTGAGATTGGAAAGAGGTTGTCATTTTCAGAGATACGCTAACTTCCTGTTCAAAAGTGAGAGGAATACTTAGTGTTTCGAGGTCTCAGTGTTCCTGGAGGCTGGAGCTATTGCAGGCAGCTCTTGAACATTTTCTTCAGCAAAAGAGGAGAATAACTTCCTGGCAAAAATTTCTTTCCTTTAATAAGGACTTTTCCAGAAAGCATCCTCAACAACATCATGGTTTTCATCAGGTTATAGAGAATAACAATCTGTCATGTCATTCATAAATCATTTATGATAATCACACACTGAGAAATGCATGGCCTCAAAATATTTCATGATAAAACCCCTTTGGTATTCAATAATAATAAGATGATTTAAAAGTCACAGGAGTGAGCATGTTTGACAGGTCAGGAGAAGTACCTCTAATCCAGTTTAAGAAACACTTACTTGTGTGACTATGCTATTACATTAAAATTAATTGCATTGTTCAAATTGAACTTTTGTTAAAACTTAAATAACTAAACCAGTAAATATTGCCTTTATAGTAGAGGGTCCAATTTAAGCAACTCATTTCTCACCTAATCCTAATTTTCTTTAAATCAATGCTATATTACTTTGCAGAAGCAAATTCACAAACCAAACTAAGTTGGAATGACACCTAAGGAAACTGGGCTATTTAGTTTAAGTACATTTTTTTGTCCTGGAAAGCTTCAAGTGCCTAGCATTGTCTACCTTGATTAGGGACTTCCTGTAACTTTTTATAAAGATTAGAAAATTGATCAGATTATCAGATAAAATACCTGAGGCACATGATCCTACATCTATCCTGTTTGCAAATATTTTCTTTAGAAGCCATGGTTTCTAAAATGACATTTCTTGTTTTAAAACAACATTATCATTAGTTTGCAATTGGATGTGTTCAGTGGCTCAGTTGTGTCCAACTCTTTGTGAGCCTTTGCACTGTAGCACACCAGGCTCCTCTGTCCGTGGGATTTCCCAGCCAAGAATATTGGAGTGGGTTGCCATTTCCTTCTCCAGGGGGTCTTCCTGACCCAGGGATCATTAAAATATATGAAATTCAGAAAAGTAGAAAGAAAAGCAAATCCTTCTATAGAAGCAATGTATTTTCCTTGTACTTAAGGATATATGATGACTATAACATGCTCAGTATTTCTTCTAAGGTTCCAATGTGTCTCCTTTTCTTGTTTTCTTACTGCAGTGAGTTTATGCAAAAGTTGATGTCTTTTTATTAAAGCCCAGTCCTTTGGAGCTAAAGACTTAGGATCTTGAATCCAATTTATCAATCACTCAGAAGCACAAGGGAAAGTTTTCAATCCCTCTCGAAAGTAAAATTGAACATTGCCTTTTGAAAAATAGTAGTTAAGTGTAAACCTAGAAATTATTACAACTCTACTGTGTAAAAACTTTCTGAATATTGCTTTCATGTGCTACTTAGAGCTTCATTCCTCCATAAGCCATTAATGCTTAAAATTGTGCAGGACTTCCTGACTTCTGAGACTGTACGCGGTCCAGCCCCTGTTCACAGACAGCCCAGTTGTAAAGAGCTGTTCAGGGTGCCATGAAGAATGGGTGCAGGTGTCAGGCGCAGAAAACCTGTGTGTGACCCAGGCATGCTCCCTGCCCCTCTGTGTGGTCCTGGTGAATAACACAGAGACAGTGCTGGTGAGAACGCTGATGTCCTCCTGATCTTGTGAAGAAATGGGAAGTATAGAGGCCTCTTTATTATTTGTATTTTTTACAGAGTATTGTAACTTTATGTCTTTGTTGTTGTTGTTCAGTCACTAAGTTGTGTCCAGCTCTTTGAGACCTCATGGACTGCAGCACACCAGGTTCCCCATCCCTCACCATCTTCTCGAGTTTGCTCAAGTTCATGTTCATTGAGTTCATTGAACCATCCAACCATCTCATCCTCTGTTGTCCCCTTCTCCTTCTGCCTTCAGTCTTTCCAAGCATCAGAGTCTTTTCCAATGAGTCGGCTCTTGGCATCAGGTGGCCGAAGTTTTGGAGCTTCAGCTTCAGCATCAGTCCTTCCAATGAATATCCAGGGTTGATTTCCTTTAGGATTGACTGGTTTGATCTCCCTGCTGCCCAAGGGACTCTCAAGAGTCTTCCCCAGCACCACAGTTCCAAAGCATCAATTCTTCAGCACTTAGCCTTCTTTATGGTCCAGCTCTCACATCTGTACATAACTACTGGAAAAATCACAGTTTTGACTATTGCTGGGTTTTATTTGTTTGTTTGCTTCCCGTGCTCCTTGCAGGTAGAAGGACACATTTGTAAAGTGAGGCAGGTAAGAGGTTGGTGGAATCTTTCACCACCACAAATTCTCTAAGCTATAGACATGAGCAGACAGCTGTCTTACTGTACCTATTTTAGGGTAGAAGGAGAAAAAAAAAAAAAGAAAACAATGACAGCAATAAAATAAACCTGAAGGCAGACAAGAATAACTTGTCCAAGTAAAGCAGTCTTTCCTTTTTCATTGAATGACAGATGAACATATTCTATTTCTCAAAATCACTCTGTTCTCATAGTTGAAAAATCTATCCTGACAAGCCAGGACTAGTCTGTGAATTCAAACATACATCAGTGAATTATGTACAACACTTTATGCTCAATCTTCTTTGTAAGAAGTATGCATTTTATAAGCTCTTGATACAACATGTGAATTTCTTAGAACTGGAAAACTAACTAAGCCTTATAATTTATGCCATTTTAGAAAAGATGAGACCTGGGGAAAATCAACTGAAACATGTATTTGCTTGCCTAGGAAGGACGTGAAGCAAAGAAAACCTTAGTCTAAATTCTTCCTCCCAGACTTAGAGAAAGCATTTCCACTCCCTGGTCCTGTCTTCCCCATAGTCAGAATATTGCCTGTTTTCAGATCATGGAAGTCCCAGAGGGTAGCACCCAGTCTCTGCACAGCGCAGTCCATGGCCTGAGAAGCCAGTCCCGTGTTTACCACCCTCTGATCCAGGCAAACCTCATCCCCTTCCACTCGGCCCTGGGCTGATCTCAGTTTGCTTCACAGCATTCACTGAAAGATGGAGAATAGTTGCTTGTTGTTGTCGTTGTTGTTGTTCAGTTGCCAAGTCATGTCAGACTCTTTGTGATCCCATGGACTGCAGCATGCCAGGCTTCCCTATTCTTCACTTTTTCATGGCCTTTGTTCAAACTCATGTCCATTGGGTCAGTGATGCCATCCAACCATCTCATCCTCTGTTGTCCCCTTCTTCTCCCACCTTCAATCTTTCCCAGCATCAGGGTCTTTTCCAATGAATCAGCTCTTGGCATCAGGTAGGTAAAGTATTGGAGCTTCAACTTCAACATCAGTCCTTGCAATGAATCTTCAGGATTGATTTCCTTTAGGATGGACTGGTTTGATCTCCCTGCTGTCCAAGGGGCTCTCAAGAGTCTTCTCCAGGATCACAATTTGAAAGCATCAATTCTTTGGCACTCAGCCTTCTTTATGTTCCAGCTCTCACATCCACACATGACCACTAGAATAATTGCTACTGGCATGGCATTTCTCTGTGGTATGGCCTGAAATCTCCAGGTGAGGAAAGATTAGAGATTTATCCATGTTTATAAAAAGGACAGTCAAGATTATCATTGTATTTATTTGTTTATCCGTCTCATGCTGCTGTTCAACTGTAACACAATAATCAGACACTAAAATATGACAAATGTAAGCTGTGGGCAATATGTTTACAACAGAATATTATATTCTGTGTTGTTTTCAGTTACAGAAAAATATTCTGTAATATCATTAATTTTCTCATAGTTATTAGACATTATACAATTTTATTAACTTTTGCCTTCTGATCAAAAATATTTCAACATTGAATTGAAGCTTAGTTTATTCAAAACAGTCTTCTGACTTCCATTCTCATAGAAGTGCTTCCAGCAATTTACCCAAATGGTGTCAGTTATTGCTTGGGTTCAATTCAACCCAAGATGCCAGAGTATTAGGGAAAGGACCATAAAGACAGAAGGATTATTTGTAAGTAAAATGTCCCCCTCAGAGGGCTGCACTTTCACAGAAGGTACTCAAAGACAGGAAGATGGGGATCTCGGAGATGATAAACATGAACTGACTTTCAATGCAGGAACAGAAGTCAATGTGCAAACTCCCAAGTGCATACCTGGTGGATCTCAGCGTCGGTTTGGCGTGACCAGCCGCTTTGCCCTTGAAGTGTTTTTTGAACTTTATCTCGTGCCTCCTTTTGTAAACAGGAAAATCACTTATAGTGATCACTCCCTGCCTATCAGTGCATTCTGATCTACAGCCTGAGTGGATGCCTCACTGGATGGAGGCTCACCTGCCATGCCCAGGGTCAAAGACCATGAGATCCGCACGCTGTGGAGAACATGGGGACAGGCAGAGAGCTGGGGGTGGCTGCAGGAGGCCAGCCTGTGTGGTGGGCCTGAAGGTGCTGCTGTGGGCTCAGCGCTGTCAGGGTGCATCTTCATCTGTACGTGGATGTGGGAGGGATGGAGCAGGGCTGACTGGGATCAGTAGAGGTGGCAGCCCTGTGAGTCTGGGGAGGGGATTTGGGGTCTGTGTGGCTCACACAGTGCTCCCAGCAGTGCCTGTGATCACAAACATACAGTGGCCTCCAAGATGGGGTGTGGTCCGCAGCGCGAACCAGCTCTCAGGGAGCCAGCGGCCAGGGGTCAGAGTCAGGGCCGCTCCTCGTATTTCCCACTCCTTCAGCAAGTGACGTCCCGCCAGCTGGAGTGTACTGCCAAGCTTTGCTCTTTGCTGTGTAATCTGTTCTTTTCATTTACAAACACACAGTGGTAATATTAGACACTGGGGAAGGGTCAGTGCCCCCTCCAACCCCAAATGGCTACCCGCTCCCTACCTCCCACCTTGGAGAACTGCTGGTCCAGTGGGAAGACCCTGGGAAGGAGAAGGTTGGCTCTGCCCTCAGCCATTCCCACTGCCCTCTTCTTGCTCCCACGTCTTTCCTAACGGGATGAATCCTGTAACTGTATGTATGTTACTTATGATATGTTCTTTTTTTTTTCTTAATTTTATTATGGTAACATGAGATTTACCCTCTCATGTTATCCTTTCAATCATTGTTTAAGATGAGCAGTTAGCGTTTTGTAAAATTCACAGTGCATGATTCAGTGTCCTTGGGGCTTCTCAGGTGCCACAGGGGTAAAGAACCTGCCTGTCAATGCAGAAGATGTGAGAGATGCGGGTTTGACCCCTGGGTTGGGATGATCCCATAGAGGAGGGCATGGAAACCCATTCCAGTATTCTTGCCTGGAGAATCCCATGGACAGAGGAACCTGGTGGGCTGCAGTCCATGGGGTAGCAAAGAGTCAGACACAACTTAGCACTCATGCATCACAGCATCATTAACTGTTTGCACAGCTTTGTCAGTCGATATGATCTGTAGAACTTGGGAGTCTTGAATGATTGCCGTTGAATGGTAGCTCTACCTTCCCCCTACCCCTCCCCACCACCTCCTGGCAACCACCATCTGCTCTCTGCTCCTCTAAGCTTGTCTCTTAATTGATTCCTATCCATGGGACCGTGCAGTATTTGTCCTTCTGCAACAGACTTGTTCCACTTCCCTAATGTCCTATGGGTCCATCCATGTTGTTGCAAGTAGCACAATTTCCTTCCTTTTTAGAGAGCTGAATAATATTCTATCGTGTGTATATACGACATTATTTATTCATTGGTGGACATGAGGTTGTTTCCATAAGTTGGCTATTGCGAATAATACCCTTACGTAATGGCAGTGCAGATGTCTCTCCAGGGGAGGGATTTTATTTCCTTCAGATAAACACTCAGAAGTAGAATTGCTTGGTTATGTGGTAGTTCTGTTTTTAATTTTGCTTTTTAATCACCAGGCCACATTATAAGTAATCCTTTATATAGCAGCTCTTCTCACTAGAGTCTGAGGTCCTTGAGGATAACTGCATGTTCTTAGTCATCTCATTATCACCAGCACAGTAATCTGAGTACTTAGTTAAGTTCAATGCCTGAATATCACTCTGTCCTCATAAAGCACCAATTCTCCATGTGCCATGTTTTCCCCGTCTGTGATGGGAATCTGAGGTGGTCCTCAGGGTTGATTTGAGGAGGCATGTAGATGAGTAAGTGCTCCCTGAGCCATTCCTCATAGAGACTGCAAAAGACATTTATTAATTTCAGCATCAGCAGAAACTCCCTCTGGACTCATCTTAGATCTGTTTCCAAGGAGATGCCGTGGCTTTGTGCTGCAGACACAGATGGTTGTGCTGTGTGTCTTGCTTCTAGCTGTCCCGAGGACCAGTGACACCCAGTGCAGCTCTGTCCCCGAGCCCAGGTACGGGAGGAGAATCGGTTCCGAGTTCTCGGCGGGGTCCATCGTCCGCTTCGAGTGTAACCCGGGCTACCTGCTCCAGGGCTCTGCGGCCATCCGCTGCCAGTCTGTACCCAGCGCCCTGGCCCAGTGGAACGACTCGGTCCCCAGCTGCGTGGGTAAGTGTGTGTCCCCACGGTGTGACCACCAGCATGGGGTCCGCAGTCCCAGGTCACAGAGGCACTAACGAGCTCTCTTTAGTCCACTTAAGCGGACTCTTGCTCCAGACCTGTTTAAAGGGCAAATTATTTTAGCAGAAATAATTGAGTAGCACCCAAATCCTAAAAATTACTGTGTTTCATGAAACAAGGCATCAGATTAACAAGTATGAAGCATGTTTTCCTTTTCGATACTTATTAAGTATGCCATCACAAGCCATGGGTATACAACATAATTTCATTTGAGGGAAAAGTCATTATAATGTTGATTTGTTCCATGACTTGTGTAATGCCCTTTTAATAAATTGGTGCTGATGAAGATCTGAAAAATAGTACGTTGATGCATCCCAAATAACAAAGACATTGTTGGTGATAGTTTATTTGCTTCATTTTGCGTAAGGACCTCCAGGGCAATCATGATTAGCACTTGAATTCATTTGTGCCTTTTAAGCCTCTCTTCTCTCTGTATTGGCTCACAGATCCCATTAGTATCAGTTGGAGCTGCCTGTCTGCATATAGAAGAGAAAACTCCACAGAGCTTCTTAACTTGTAGTAGAGCAATTACTCTAAACAGAATTTACTTCAGAGATGCTGTTTTTGGGTACAGTGTCTAAGACTTAGCAGCATAGCAGATGATAATCTATGGTACTGATCATTTAAAAGAAAACAGACTAAGTCTGCCCTTGGCTACAAATGCCTTTTAAAGCATCATAGTCCATGTAAGACATCTTAATAGCTGATCACACAGTGAAGGAGCAGTGAGTACAGAATCAGTGTTCTTCACTGTACTTTATTTATCCTAATTGTGGGTTTGGCTCTCAGTCCCCTGCAGTGGCAATTTCACTCAGCGGAGAGGTACCATTTTATCCCCCGGCTACCCTGAACCCTATGGCAACAACTTAAACTGCATATGGAAGATCATCGTTACAGAGGGGTCAGGAATCCAGGTATGTTCGCAAAGCCCAGAGGCTCCTAAGAAACAGAGCTCTGCCCCCGGGCTTCTCCCTTCTTTCTCTCCCTCTTTTTGTATTGGTTATCCTAAATGTACAAACCGTAACCTGTTTCTCTTTTCTTACCATTCCTACCAAGTGTTTCTAATCATGTGTCTACATTTGAAATTAAAGTGATAGACTTTTAGAATAAAATCTATCAAAAGTGCCATTTGTGGAAATTTTGTGGATGTCATTTCCATGGCTAATTTCTTTGGTTTTGCCTTTCTCTAACATGTATATTTTTGATGTCTTCAAAGCCCCGTTGGACTAGTCTAATTTTATTAATTTATTTTTAATCAGAGGATAATTGCTTTACAATATTGTGCTGGCTTCTGGCACAGATCAACATGAATCCACTATTGGTATATGTATGTCCCCTTCCTCTTAAACCTCCCTCCCACCTTCCACCCACCCCACCCTTCTAGATAGTTACAAAGCCCCGATTTGAGTTCCCTGAGTCATACTGCGAATTCCCATTGGCTATCTATTTTACACATACACTATGTATACATTTCCATTCTGTTTTCAGTCTGATTTTATTAAGTGAAGGACAAATATTGACTTGTTTGGTAGATTCAAGTGATCAGCTTTGCCACGGAGCAGAACTGGGACTCTCTGGAGATTTACGATGGTGGTGACGCAAGCGCGCCAAGGCTGGGGAGCTTTTCAGGTGAGGTGACCCCGTCCCCGAGTGTCTGTGAACCCGAGTCATCACGCCATGACGGACTGCAGGGGAGAACTCAGTGCCGACCTTTCCCTGGGAGACGCTTCTCTGTGCTAACAAGTTTCTCTAGAGTTGGGAGGCTTGGAAGGAGAGTACCAGACCCCAGAGTGAAGGGAAAAGCACTGTCCCCCGCAAGCAGGAGGCTGATGGATGATCACTGGTGGGCTCTGCGCTGGGGAGAACGTGGGTTATTACCCTGTGGATGTAACGGGGTGTCTTCACTGAAGTCAGTTTTGTGTGGGGGTGGTTTGGACAACGAACTTTGGGGTGGGTGACTTCCTTTTCTCTTGCGCTCGTTAGAAGCGTTTGATGCAGTTGGGGACCAAGCGCTGAGGCTGGGGAGCAAGGCAGCCGGGGATGCAGATGGAAGGCTGGGAGCAGATGTGGACCCTGAGAACAGACATAGATACGGAGGATGGGGACAGGGTTTCTCGTGACTGGGCGGGGAGCTGGATACACAGGGACGCGAGAGCTGGCGAGGAGCTGCTTGTGATGGATTTGAGCTAGACACCCTGGTGTGAACTCATGGTCTTCATACGTATAGCTATGCATCGCTGTCCAGTCACTACGTCATGTCTAAGTCTTTGCAACCCCATGGACTGTAGCCTGCCAGGCTCCTCTGTCCATGGAATTTCCCAAGCAAGAACTTTGGACTGGGTGGCCATTTCCTTCTCCAGAGGATCTTCCCAATCCAGGGATCAAACCCACCTCTCCTGCATTCGCAGGCAAGTTCTTTACCCCCGAGCCACTTGGGAAGCCCTATTTACAACTGTATAGCTATAGACATAGAAGTACGTGTGTGTGTCTGTGTGTGTACATATGTCCCACCCCTGTATCCTGTGAGGTGTAAAACAATAACCCCTCAGCAAGGAGTTACCCACCTAGTACCCAATTGTGCATTTCTAAAATCACTTGAAGTCCCATTCTCCCTTAAAGGCACTAGTACTTCTTGGAGAACCACTGACTCTGAAGCTCTGGGAGAGAAAACATGCATGATGAGCCATTTTGTACAAAATAGAAATATGTAGATCCACGCTGATATACATAGACACATGCATGAGTGTAAGGAATAAGAGAGAAAGCCTTCCCAAACTATAATAAATCTAAACTAACAAATGGGAAGGAGATGGAATCACAGCTGCCACTAGTGGCTGTTAGGACACACACGTCCATGTGGGGAGGTCAGTGGAGGCCGAAGGTAGCATGTGAGGTTGATGAGGACAGACAGCCACAGTCTCCATGCACCTCCTCACCTAGTCCTCACGCACTCGCTGCAAAGGAGGAAAGAAGTCATTCACAGTGAGAAGCCTGGCAGACACCACCTTCCTAAGACAGCCATGTCAAGATTTACAGTAACAGCACAAGGTATGCACTGGTATACTGGTAAGCCTGCTCTCGAAATAAGCAAGCAGAGGAACAGAAAGGCATGATGTGACTTAGAATTGCAGTTGCCATGGTGTAAATTCTCCCGGGCATGGACACTGAGTCTCTTCAGTCTGTCCATGGCATTTCCTAGGCAAGAATACTAGAGTGGGTTGCCATGTCCTCATCCAGGGAATCTTCCAAACCCAGGGATCAAACCTACATCTCTTACATCTCCTGCATTAGAGGCTGGTTCTTTATTGCTAGCACAACCTGGGAAGCCAGTAAGCCCTTCTCCACCAGGGCTGATTTCAAACACCCAGCATGATGTCACTAAAGTTGAGTTTGGGAGGAAATGCCCTGAAGTAGATTCTGGAAGCCTCTGAGTCAACTCCCTCATACCTCTGAGAGCGGGCAAACACAGTAACCTTGGGAGAATACCCTCTTCGTGAATCACAGCCTTTGGCGAAGGGGCTCGCATAACTCAAAGAAGCTATGAGCCATGCTGTGCTGGGCCACCCGTGATGAACCAGTCATAGTGAAGATTTCTGGCAAAATGTGGTCCACTGGAGGAGCCCGCTCCAATATTCTTGCCTGGAGAATACTATGAACTAGAGAATCCTAGTGTGAAAAGGCAAAAACATATGACACCAAAAGATGAGTAACTCAATGGACATGAGTTTGAGCAAACTCCAGGAGACAGTGAAGGACAAGGGAACCTGGCATGCTGTAGTCCATGGGGTTGCAGAGAGCAGAACGTGATTTAATGACTGAACAACAATGGGAGAATACAGCATCATATTTTGATATTTTTGCCAAAAATGTATCACCACCTGAATCTAGTCATGAAGAACATCAGACATTCTCTTCGGAAGTTATGTTGCTTTAAAAAAGCATTTTTTTTTTCAAAATGTGTTCATGTTTTTTTGGAGAACTCATTTTCATGTTTGCCTGCACTAAGCCTTACGGCAGGGGAAACACATGATTTGTTACTGCACACCAGCCCTGTATGTTTTGTTTTTTAACTACTCCCAATCTTTTGTAATCTCATTTTCTGAACTTATGTCTGAGTGTACTCTCAGCTTAAATATATAAATAATATATTAATATATAATAATACATATTTATTAATATATATTAATGTATACTAAAAGCATGAGAATCTCCTACATAAACAATTACAAAAAAGTCCTTTGTAGTGTGCATTTGATTAAGTTATAAAACATTAAAGAAAAATAATACACATGAGCAGTTTTTATTAAGTTTTATATACTATAATTTTTAAAAAAGAGTTAAATTCTAATTTTCTAAAATAAAAATTGATTTTGAAATATATTCTACACAGAAAGTGACTTGTATCTTTCAAAAGTATTGAGTTCATGAAAGGGAAAGAAAGACTAAGAAAGTCTTACAGACAAAAAAAAAAATGCCTCACAAAACAAAGGGACACAATCACAGATGGAGTCCTTCTGATAGAAAAGCTGTTATTGGCAGATTGTCGAAATTCCAGTGATTTCTGTAGGATATATGGTCCTGCAGCCTCTATGTTAGTTTTTGGTTTTTTTTTTTAATATGTACCCACTCTGTTTTAAGAAATGCACACTAAATTTTTATAAGAAACGTGTCACAATGTCTGCAACTTGCTTACAAAGGGTTTAGTCGCCCAGTTGTGTCTGACTCTTAGTGACTCCATGGACTGTAGCCTGCCAGGCTCCTCTGTCCTTGGGGTTGGGTTGTCATTCCCTTTTCCAGGAGGTTTTCCAGACCCAGGAGCAAACCCAGAATCCTGCACTACAGGTGGTCTCCTGCATTTCAGGTATATTCTTTACCAAGTGAACTTACAAAGGAAGCCAAAGGGTTTAGAATAAAATAACTTCACACATATCTGTATTGTGGCTAGAGACCACTTCACACACATATCTGTATGTGGACAGAGATAGATATCATTATTCTGTAATATATGGCAAGATAGTGGGTATATGGGAGTTTTTTGTACCATATTTGCAATTTTAAGTTAAAAGCTACTTAAAATATTTCAAAAAGAGTATTTTATAAAGTTTATATGGAAGAAATGACACATCAGCCATCAAATCTGAATATATTTTAAAACATAATACATGTTTACACATTTTTGTTCCTGTGATAATTTCAAAATGCTTAAAAAGGAGAATTTGAACCCATTTTAAAAGTGAGTTGTTGACTAAAAGCAAGGAAGAATGAGTAGTTGGTAGAGGTACACATTTCCAGAAAAACGATTGACTGACTTTTTGAATAAATTCAGGTTTTTGATTTTCTGTCTGGATAGCCGTGTGTATGTAGGACTTATATTGTAAGCTATTTGAAATCATTTTTGGAAGTAGACAGGTGATAAATTATAAATGGACATGTTATAGCAAAAGTCATACCAATCTGTTGCTGACAAGCAGGATTAAGGAAGAGTAAATACCAGTGGCTGGAGCAGTGTCTGCAGGGCCTGGAGCACATCGCTCAGCTTCCCGCACGTGCGGTTCTATCTAGGTCAGTGAAGCAGTGCCATCAAAAGTATTCCGCCTGTGGCAACAGTTTTTTCAAATATCCCTCAGCTACTTTTTGAACCGGGGGAATACACTTCTTCTTCCAGTCCATTCTGAGCAGAGTCCCTAGCGGACGCCGCTGCAGGGGCGGGCAGTGGCCAGGGCAGGCACACATCGCATATGCGCCTGGGGCATCGAAACCCAGCATATTTTTAGGAAAACAAATGATTATATTTAGAAGTACAGACAGGACCGTCAATTCATAAATATACTTGCTGCAATTAATAGTAATGTTTAGAGGGGCTGTGATGGTCCACTAGGCCCTTTCATACACACATTGCATGTATGACTCATATAAGGGATGGACTGTTATTTTGATTTCACAGAACTGGAACATCTTCAAATGTTTTCAGTAACAGGACTGTTTTATGGCTCAGTCAGCAGTGGAAGTGAGTTTTCTGATTCCGCTGCAACATAATCAGGAAAGACAAAAAGTCAGAGGTGTATGTTGAGAATGTATGTGTGGAAATGACTTGACTAGGGGCTGGAGGCAATTAAATATACTGATTATCTGAAATCATAGGTAAAACCAGGCAGAAAGTTATACAAATTCTGTAAACAGAACTTACTTTTTGGATTAGTTAGATCATCATAATGACATTACATTAACTTTGTACTTTCTGTAGGCATCACCCAAAATATACAGAAATAAAACATGAATGAGAGAACAACAAGCGTCACACAATTTGAACAAAAGTGGATTAAACCAGAGTTTCTGTTGGGTGTTTCCTTCTTGTCTTGATGTGGGGGTGGATCGAGCTGGCCCAGAAAGCAGGTACAGGCAGCGCCCTGACCTTCAGGCCCCCTTTCCTCCTCACAAGTCCATCCCCACACCGCACGGGTGCACCCTGCGCGCTGCTGAGCAGACAGCACACTGCTTCTGGTACAGCCCAGAAGGGGAAAAGGTGATCCTCAGGCAGAAGACTTTCTGAAACAGGCAAGGTCACCCCACCTTGCAGGATTCCCCCATCTGCACTGTTAACTATTAATTAGTTTCAAAGAATGATCTCT